GGGGGGGGGGGAGGCGGTCGTAGCTACCCCTAAGTGGCGTGTATTGCCTGCGTAACGACCGTGTCGCGGGAGCTCAGATCGCGCGGGGTGTCATCCGCGAGGGAGCAGGAAGGCGACGTTCTGAATAGGCATTCCCCTCGTGCGGTCGCTACCCCATCTATGATTTTAGATAAAGTTTTTTTTCCATTGTACAACACAGGAAGTGTTGGATACTATCTGAGTTGAGTTATTTATCTCTTCTCTTAAAACAAAATTGTTAAAAATTCTGTTTTCATTTATGAGATATATTTTTTCAAAATTATTGTTACAATTCTTTGTTCTTTTGGGGTGAGAATTTTGTCCGGATTGAAAAGAAAAAGTTCGCATCTATGAGGAGCAGCATTTCATTGTAAGGTAAAAATCTGGCATGCCGTTGTATTCGTGTCACGTTAACTTGTGCTTTCACCTTTTGTTTCAAAACTCTGAGAGGATTTACATCTACCCAAAATTGTTTTTGTTGTCTGTCTCCGGTGAATGTTTGTACTCGAAACGTCAGCTACGAACATAGAGTTGTTTACAACACGCGGTGTCTTAAAAGCAGTGATGTAGCTCAAACGCACACACGCTTTTTTTTTTTAATTTCCCTAGGTCCCTAAACATAAGGAACGGGAATGATATTATTTCTGTTACATTAATGTTGAGTTACGAGAAGATTGCCAGCTCTATATTTGTCATTCTCCCAACGCTCACAGCAGGGCCACTGGAGGTGGTTGCATGTGCCCTCAACTCTACCTCTTTCCGTCCTCACCGCCCCGTGCGGAGATCGACAGGAGCGAGGTGGCCTGGCCGAAATTTCCTCCCCCTCCCAACCTCCTTAGCTCCACCTCGGCGTGAGACGGTTGCATGACCCGCAGCCCCCATGCCGTCCTCACCGCTCCGTGCTCGACACAGGAGCGAGGGTGGCAGGTCGAAATGTCCTCCCAACCCCCAATTCTCCGCCACGGCGTGAGACCTCGCATGTCCCCCCGGCCTGGCCGGCCCGTGCGCCGGTGCGCGCGCGGTGGCGGAGGTGTCTGACGCAGCGGGGCGCGCGGTGTTGCAGCAGCAGATGCACGCGCAGCAGCTGCCTCACGCGGCGCACGCGCCGCCCATCCCCATGATGCCGCACCCGGGGCTGCCCGGCCCGCCGTCCAGCGCCGCGTCGCTGCTGGGGCTGTCGGGCGCGCTGGCGGGGCCCGGCGCGCACCCGCTCTCCATGCTGGGCTCCAAGCCGGAGCTGCACCGCGACGAGGTCAAGAGCAACAGCGGTCAGTATCCCACGCTTCTCTCTCGCCCCCACTCGGACCCCCATCTTACTTTCTGATGTCATTTCTTGAACACTCGTATTGCTACTTGCACATCTCCTTTCCGTTTCATAATCCTGCCCTGATGAAACATATATCATAACCTATATAATATTCCATTTTAATTTCTCTTCAACAAATAAATATGCTTTATGTTCGCGACGAGGTCAAGAGCAACATCGGTCAGCATGCCACGCTTCTCTCTCACCCCCACTCCGACTTTCTTCTGTACACTCTTGTTGCTACTTGCACCTCTCCTTCCCGTTTCATAATCCTGCCCTGATGAAACGAATATAACCTGCATAATATTCCATTTTAATTTCTCTTTAACAAATAAATGTGTTTTATGTTCATAGTGACACAACTTGTTGACTAAATATGTAATGTTATTCTAAAACAAATATCTCTACTACGAATTGTGTGTACATAATACAAGACGTCAGCCAGCAAAGAGACAAGAGTTATCCCAGTGTTTATACGTACTCTACACCTAAATACATATTTGAAGTATGACACATATTTGTGAACACGCATTTGTTTTCATAATTTTGCTTATCAGGCCAAGGCATTGTGTTGGTTATGTAAATTAATTTATTTCGTCATCGCCCAATTATATTCTCTTATTTCTCTTAATCTACCGTGAACATGTGGGGAAATGTTGGCATAAATTCATAAGGAATGCTTGTGAAATAGATATATATATATATATATATATATATATATATACAATATATATATATATAATATATACATATATATAGTATCAGAAAATTTAACAAGAAATTTTGAGCAAAACATTTCGCGTCTGCTTTCACTTAAAAAGAAATGATATTGTGTTGTTTAACAGGTTACGCCTTAGTTTAGAAAGGGCTGCTCCATTCTCGCGTTTGGAGCAGTAACCACACCCCAACCTGTTCCGGTCTCTATCAAATGGGGACAGTCGCGAACCTGATATGAAGAATAAAAAAAATCCATTAGCGGCTTGGCATGCGGCGCGGGGCCCGCCACCCGCCCCGGTGACGACCTCCGGCCCCGCGCCGTTGAAAGTATTTTCCTTGTACCGGTCCGGCAGTCCGCTGAGGGGAAATCCGGCGCTCGTCCGCCCGAGACTGCAGCCGCGCGCCGGCAGCCAAGTTTCCGTCGGTGCGGAGGGGCACTCATAGGGGGCGGCGGAGGATATTCCTGAGGAGGGAGCGAGACGGGGACGGCCGAGAGCTGTCTCTCGGGCCGATCCTTTCCCCTAACAAAGACAGCGCGCTGTCTGGCGGCTATTCCAGTGGCCTAGGGACGTACAATTGCGCGGCGTGTCCGGGGCCCAAGTCTCGAGTGCGGCGCGCGGCGGCAGAGGCGCGTGCTGCGGCGGAGCGCAGTGTCGCGCCCCTTCTGCCCCCGCCTCGCCCTCGCCCGCCCACCGCCGCGCCGCGCCGTCCGGTCGAGTGGCCGGCTGGAGAGCCCTCGTCCGCCGTTTCCCGCCGCCGCGCGCCGCCGCCACCGCGCCGCCACCCGCCGCCACCGCCCTTCCGCCCGGGCCCTTTTTCATACGGCCCCGTTTTCCTCTCCGCGCTCGCGACCGCGCGTTTCGCGGCAGACGCTGCTCCCTCCCCGGCCCACCCCTCCCATTTCCTCGTCCGCTCGGCTCCCTGCGCGGCCTCATCATCGCCAGCGCCGCGCGAGTGATGCCTCTCCTGCGGATGACTTCAAACCCCATAGTGTGTATAGAATATTCAACACTATTGTCCTCTCTCCAACCGCTACACTCACCAACAGCCCAACAACATATATACGCATAGAGTTATACCACACGTCTAAAGCACCATGTCAGCAGTACGTCGCTCACCTCACGATACAACCTGCGCGCGCGCGCTCCTCGAGCATTTCTGGCGCCACCTCACGGATATCGTCGCTTCGTAGGTGACACAGAATCATCACAAGCTCTGATCAGCACGTATCGCAACCATCTATCGCGTAACCCCCATATCACTAGGCGTGCGCAGCTGCGACTGTCATCAAGTGGCGCTGGCGAGATCGGTGTCGCCCTCGCGATTTTGTTCACCTCCGCCGGATGGAAAATTAAATCTCTGCGCCGCCTTTTCGACGCGCTCGCCCGGCGGGGGCGCAGACCGCCCACGACTCGCTCCGCCGCTCCCCGGCGCGGCTCATTTGTTCTATTCCCAGCGCCGCCGCTCCGCCGCAGTTCGGGCGACGCCGCTGCTCCCAATGATCCGTCTCCATTACGGCGAGTAGTATAACGATGATAAGGCGGGCGCGCGGCTCGTTCGCCGCGTTCTTGCCCCTTCGCCGCTCCGCTGGACGTCTTGCCTTCTTACGTGGCTTGTGCTGCTCCGCACGTCATTCAGATGAAGCTCAACACTTAGATCGATGGACATATTTTACTTTCTTGAGAGTATGGATAAGAAAGCTTTTGCATGCGTTCTTTTTTTTGCACCAAATATTACGGGCACTTATTTCATAATCGTTTGCCGGATACGCTCCTTGTGCGAAATGTTTCTTGTACACATGTTTAACGGACACGCAGCTCAAGTAACGAACCTTATTTCAATATGATAATTGGCACATGGTGGGGACGGAACAACCAACATTAATCATGCTTTTATTTTAATGGGGCAATCACAAATACGGATGCAATATACCCCTGCAACACCATTGGCGACTACCTCTATCAGACTTCTTCGTCTACTCTTTTACATTAATTTCCGTACTCGCGCTAGCCACCGTGGCGTTATACCGTCGCAGGCATAGATCCTCCTACGACTGTGCACAATATCATCTGTACTGCGATTAGACAGCTCAATTTTGTTATCGAGAATAAACTTATGAAGATAAATCGTTATCGTATCCGCGTAAATGATTTCTGACCGTATTATTTGTAAAAATAAAATAAATTTTTGAATCCTACATTTACTGAAGGGACACTCCCCCATCTTCTTTGGAATACCTTCGCAAAGTTACGCTCTTTTTCGAACCTTACCCATCCGCGAGAAAATATTTTCTTTTTTTTTTTTTGATACCTGGGATGACACGCAGGACGTTGTGCTCCGAAATTTGTTATCTCAACTACCCACCCACGCCCCCCCAGACGCGCGCGTCGGGATCCGACAACCCATCACCAAAGACCAAACTCGACTCTCCGGCACGACGCCGAAGACTGCGTTTTAGGAAGCGGGGAGCGCGTAGGCCAAGGTCTCCCATCTTTCGCCGACAAGCGCCAGCGGTTTGCAAACATTATAAAGCCAAGCGAGGCCGATTATGTGACGCACGAGTATAGCAAAAGCCCAGCAGTCTCCCTTTCCTACTTGACTGTCGCCGAACTCT